CCCACCTCCCCCCCGGCCCCTTCCAAGCTCTCTGATTGGCCAATGGGACAAAAGTTTCTGTGGAGACGGCTGGGCGCTGACGTCACGGGCAGAATTGTCCCATTTAGGGATCCCGGGGGCAGTGCGCATGCTGCAGGCTGCAGGTTAGAGGCAGGAGGAGGTAGCAGCGGGCCGGGCGGCAGCCAGGTGGCAGAAAGGAGCAGGCACCATCCAGGTGGGGGGACGACTCCAGCAGGGTTTCCATGGAGATTTCCTCTGGGTCTAGCCTAAAAACAGCAGATCAGCTGACACCATTAGCTCAGGACCTAATTACTGCTTATTGGAGCAACAAATGAGGGAGAGGGCCAGCTGCAAAGGAAGAGTTTTATCCCCCCTCCATCTTCTCCTTTCTCCCCCGCCCCATCGCTCTTGAGTCCCGGGTGAATTCTCATTAACTTGCAAGATTCCTGCAACAACAGCTCCACTTCTCCTGAGGCCACCCTGACTGCCTGTATTCTTTTGATTTCCTTCTTTTGCATAAAAAAGTACAAAAATAAATCAACTGTCCTGAGACCCTGAACCTTTGTCCGATAAATATTAGACGGGGAGATCTCAGAGAACACACTGTCAAATAGAAGTCACGGGGAATCTAACGTGTACTGGGCAGGTGGTGGATGGATCCCCTTTCAAAAAATGAAATTGAAAGATCGCTCTCAATTTATTGAATCGAATATTTATTTTTAGATCTTTTCTTTCATGTTTAAAAAAGTCTCCGTATCTTAAATACATAAGTATTTGGAAAAAACAACTCAACAGAAGTATGAATTACCCTTTCAGGTGTGGTATATTCCACAAGCACAACTCTGTAAAAGTTTCCCTCGTGGCATCAGAGATAGGTAAAAATTCCAAGTAGAGAAATCTAGGTTTTGTTGTGTATTGATCATGTGTCTTTGAGAAGTTTCCAGAAAGATAGATGGTCCTGGAGCAGTCTTTCCAAAGTAAGCTATTTCTATGGAGTACATCTTTTGTTATGATTGTAAGTTAATTTACAATTACAGAATTTTTTTTTTTTGGTAGATATTTACTCAGATTGAAATCTGTCTCTCTTCTAAACTCCTTTGGGTAATGTCTTTCAAACATTTTTTAATTCTCTTTTATAGTAAGTCACATGCTTCATTCTGGAGATAGATAGATAGATAGATAGATAGATAGATAGATAGATAGATCTATATATATGAAAAACATACTACATTACATATAATATATATTTTTCTCCTAATTATTTCATTTGGTAAAGTATGGTCCCACAAAATACATTTATTTTATGGCCCAGCAATGGGTGACTGGCAACCTATAGTTTCAAAGGTATTATTTGAGATTGAAGAGCAATACTATTCCTTGTACTGCATTTATATTTTCCAGTATGCTTCATTGTTCAAATAAGATTTTTATTCTAAGACCAAGATTCTATTTTCTAGATTTGCCCGTAACTTTATCACAATGAAGAGGGCACACAATGTGTCCCTACTGCAGTATATACAGAGTTGGTAAATTAAGGACAAGAAGGGAAGAGAAAGACAAAGAAGAAAGGAAAAGCAAGCAGATACAGTCCTGGTCCAGCCCTGCTGACTTCTGCTAGTGGTGTTAGGATGAAGTTGTCTCCACTTAAGGAAATGCTAGGGATGTACTGCATGTACATGTGTACTATATTTATAACGATGCTTGTCACCCTAATGTATGGAAGTTAGAACACCCTCCACATAAAGAGCTGGCAAAATGCAAACAAATATGTCACAGCCCTCACTTGTATTAACTAGACTTGATATAGAAGCCAAAAACCCCACAAAAATTAAAATAGATCATACAAAATGTATTCTTTTGAGAAGGAAAGAACAAATGATTAACCATTAAAAGAGTATCCAAATTGAAGTAAAAGAATAAGGAACCCTCAGGATGATGAGAGCCAGTCTTCCCAAATCCCTTGTCTCCAGTGGAACCTGAAGTGAGACTCCTCCGTATTTGTACACATCATTGACGATGTGGCTGAGCAGACATCCTTTACCATATTTTGCACATCCCAGAGCATAAGTATTATGCTACAGTTTCTGACAAAAATCTTAAACCTGCTGGGAATCACTCTGGACTCAGTTTCTTCCTTTAATTGGGTCTTCCCACTCTACCTTGAAGATCATCCTGGGCCTCTTCTTCAGCTGTATGATTTCTGCACACAGGTTCCCTGTAATTTAACTTAGCAAATTCTTCAGAACTGCCTCTGAGTATGGCATATCTCTTCAAAAAGTGATTCTTTGCTCCTGAACTTGATACCAATCCTCTAAGTAGTCCTAACCTGGGCCCAGATTCTTGCCTGCTTAACCAGGAAAGAAAGAAAGCAAAGGAAGAGGTAGCTAGAAATTGTCATATTAAAAATTATATTTTAATTTAAAACATCTAATATGAGTCATAATCACCATGCTTTTGTTATAAAAGTAAATTTTCTTTCAACTTTGTTTTGAATTTATATATTGTGGAAAATTGCATTTTAAAATTAATCACCAGTATCCATGCAACACTAGATTGATTAACAAAATGTGACTGCAAACAATGCAGAATCTGTAATCATACTAGTTCAAGAGATAAACAAATCTTCAATGATCCATCCATTAATTATGCTTTCATTCAGCAAATATTCATTGAGTGCCAATTACTCAATAGAAGTTAGGGTTAAAGTAGTGAGTGAGATGGAAATAGTTCCCATCTCGTAGAACTTAAATGTTTCTAAGGAAACCAGATAATAAACAAGGAAATACATGATTAGACTCAAAGTTAACATGGAGGAGGTGCTGTAAGTGAACATAATGATGGGACAAGGGACTTGGTGAACTTAGGAAAGATCTTCCTAACAGTATTTGAGACCAGAAGGATATGAAGGGCTCAACTATATGAAGACTAAGGAAGGGGACCTGTAGGCAAAGGGTGAGGATCTTAATTCAAAAGATTTCTTGGCTTGTTTGAGAAGACAGTGAAACTGGAACTTCTTGAACTTGGAAAAGAGTAGGAGAATATGAGATACACGGCCAGAGCTTGTGGGGCAGTGCTTGCCAGGATGAGGAGTTTGTGCTTTATTACTGGTCCAGTAGAAAACCAATAAAAGCTTCAAAGGAAGAGAATTCTGTGATATGCATTTTACAAGTTTCACTGGCCATTTTCAGGAGAAAGGATTGG